GTGTCAAGTTGACACAGAAAAAACAGCTAGTACAGCTGTTTCCACAAAAGACTGAAAAAAAAAAACCAACCAGAAAACCCCACCTAAGTGTAGCTTAGTGGATCAGTGAGTCGATCTGGCTTACTAAGAGGCATATGGGGCAGGTGTTATCTTCCGGAGCAGGGGTGACTCCAAGGCAGCCGCACCACCAAAAACATGATAATTCAAGAAAACTGCATCCTGAAGCTTCCTTGGTGATTGGCAGGCAGCTTAGCTGGCTGGACAGTGTGCTCCCCCAGAAATTATTACTGCTTGTATAAACCTGTGCAGCCTTGTGGACCCCGTAAGTTTCAGTATTGGGGGTGGGGCTATGGAGGAAGTTCAGTAAAGTGAGTGCGGATCTTGGAATACCATGGAACTAGGGGAAAGAGTGGATTATAGGTACAGGTATTAATGGACGCTCTTTGCCGGTCCTGTTTTATGTTTCTCTTTGTTTGTTTGTTTGAGACAGGATCTCACTTTGTAACACAGGCTGGTCTGCAGCTTACTATGTAAGCTAGCTCAAGCTCACAGTAATCCTCCAGCCTCTGCCTCCCCAGTATTGGGATTCCAGGTGTGCATCACCCTGCTCAGCTTATGGTCTCTTTCTGGAGCGAGGCCCTTGCTTCATAAACAGACTTCACTTTGTGAAAATTCAGCCATGCGTGTACGATGTATATTCCATGGCTCTTACTTTTACATTAAAGTAAAAAACCCAGCATAGAGGGCTAGGACTATAGCTCAGTGTAGACTATTTAGCATGTAGGTCCTCAGTTCCATTCCCAGCAGCACAGAAAAGGCCTCCCCCTTCAAGCCCACTGCAACAAAACAAAGTAGAGCAAAATTCATGCTAAGTGACAATATCCGTTTTTCAGGCACACATACAAAGAGCCAGATATAAAATCCACCCAAATCTGCATCCAGATTTGTTAGCAGACACTTCCAAGGGCAACTCAAGTATTAATGTGTTTCTAATGTGTCCTTTCCTTTTTTTTCCCAGCTTAAACGTCATAGTGTAAACTGAGCATGCTCAGAGGCATTCCTATCTATCTCTTTAAATTTTTTCAAACATGCTGCCCACAACCGTACACTGAGCATGCCTAAACGTGTATTTCTTAACTGAGCATGCTCGGAATTGGCCTACGTCATTGAGCATGCTCAGAGGTGTACTCCCCCAACTGGGCATGCTCAGAATTGTGCTTCTTGCTCTTGCATATTTATGAGAGGACAACCCCTATATGAATATGTATAGACTCCCTGACTATGGTCCCCATGCTTCCTTTGTTCGTCAGGACCTCGCTTTTCAGTAACTCCCCTCCCTCGGCCTGCAGTGAGTAATAAATCTTCCTCCTGTCTTTCAGGCTAAGGTTGTTTGGGCTTTGTCCTTACCACAATGTGAGTCCATGGATGGCCTCTGGTTACAGGTTCAGTCCGTTGAAGACTGAAAATAATTTGGGAAAAAAAAAAAGATTTCGTCTCCGCTGAACATGTGCTCCTTTTATCCTTCCCTGAACAGAACAGTATAACAGCTGTCCATGTCTGCTCGCCATCCCTTCTTTTCATATTTCTAGAAATAAAGCAAAGTATAGGGGAGGAGAGTCACAGGTTATGAGCAAATATCATACTATTTTCCTTTATTTAATTGTTTGCCTGTTTATTTAGAGACAGGGCTTCATATGTCCCTGGCTGGCCTTGAAAACCAGAGCTGTCTGTGTCCAGTTCTTAAGTGTGGCGGCTACAGGGACATACCATCATACTCAGTTTCCCATACCATTTCCTATGAAAGGCTTCAGCACCTGTGAGCCTTTGAGCTTTGTGGACCAGGTGTCTCTGAAACTGAATCCCCTGCCTGGGACACAGGGGCCACTGTAGGTCAGATGGAGTGCCTGTGACATCTAAGGGCTAAGACTGATCAGTAAAGGGCTTACCTATCTGGGGAGGTCAGAACAATCACCATCAAACTGGGTTGGGGGTGTAGCTCAGTGGGTAAAGTGTTTGCCACCATGCTGCTCCTCAAGCCTCCACATAAATGCCTGTAGGGGAAAAGGATTTCAGAGGTCAGGGATTATGGTGAATAAAAGACCCAGTGGGAGATGGCACACCTGTAATCTCAGTCCTGGAGAGTCCTGGGTTCAGGCAGGAGAATTCGAATTTAATGTTGTTTTCAAAGTAGTGAGTTCAAGGTCAGCCAGGACTCTATGAGACTCTGTCTCAAAATAAAGACAGGGCTTTAAGCAAACCATTGCTGCTAATATGTCACATAAGCACAGGAGTATTGTTAACTTGAGCTCATCCCTGGATCCAAGCAAAAACAGTTCTACTTGTGATCCCACCATTCAGAGAGGCCCCCTGCAGTCCTGATGGTTTCTTTCTGTTGTCTATTGCTCCAGCTGTCCTGGAACTCACTCTGTAGACCAGGCTGGCCTCAAACTCAGAAATCCACCTGCCTCTGCCTCCCAAGTGCTGGGATTAAAGGTGTGCGCCACCACCACCCGGCCTCGTTTTCATTTTCATTTGGAGTTTGTGTGTCATGTACTTGGGTGCACATTTGTGTGTGTGTGTGTGTGTGTGTGTGTGTGTGTGTGTGTGTGTGTGCAGGCCAGACATCAGCTGTTAATGCCATCCTCAGGGGTACCATTCACCTGAGTTTCTAAGCTAGGGTTTCTTACTGTTGCCAAGTCCCAAGGATAGATCCATCTGCATGGTCCAGCCTACAGACATACACCTCTAACCCCTGCTTTTTAACAGATTCTGGGGCTCAGACTCAGGTCCCCATGCTTGCATGGCAAGCAGCTTACCAACTGAGCTATCCCACTAGCCTCTGAACCATTTTTGCTTTTTCTATTAAAAGTTTGATTATGTGTGTGTATACATCCATACACATATACATATGTGTCTATACACACACACACACA